AAATCTTTAAAAAAAGAACCTATGCACATTATTTCTATAGTGAAATTAGATACCTAACTCACAAACCTAACATTTAGAATATAACTCAGTTCATAAATTGAGGAACACCTAAACAGAAATTACAGTCTAGAATACTAAAGCAGCTCTATTATCTGCCATTTCAATTCCAAATATAATTGGGGGTAAAGGGAAGCTAGGTTACTGGGCGAGCTCAACAGACCTGTGATAGTTGTTGAACAAAGCTTATAAAAACAAAACAGACCCTGTGGCCTCAAATGAGGTTTATATTACTAACATTTCCAACAAAGGCTGACATTCCAGAATGTCTAATTATTTCAATAATGTCACAAATTTCCTTCTAAAAAAATTCTGATGTCCTATACATTATCTTGCCCTCCTAAAAATGTATGCATGCCGGAATGAGTAAATAAACAAACCAACACAAGTCAAAAGTCATATGTAAAACTAGGGAAAATGTTTGCAACACAAAGACACAAAAAGGAACCCCTACAAATCAACTTAACAACAAAAAGAATACCTACAACCCAAAAGAAAAATGAAAGAAAATCAGAAGCTCACATATAAAGGAAATCCAGATGACCAATAAAGATAAAGCTACTCAATCTTATAATCAAAGAAACATAAATCGCTAAAACAAGATGTCACTTTTCATCTGCCAAACAAGCAAAAATTAGAAAGACTGATAGTATCTAATATGGTCAAAGGTGAGGAGAAACAGTCTCTCATTCACTATTAATTAGAGTGTATACTGAGTATGGGGAGTGGTGGGAATTTGGCATGGTGCTTCAAAATTACTTATGTTCAAATTCTTTGACCAAGCAATTTTACTTCCCAAAGAGTACATTTTCACACAAGATAACGTTCAAGGACATCTAGTATAGCCCTCTTTAAAATACTGAAACTTTAAAGCAGAGAACCATTAACAAGAACTGGTTAAATAAATTATGACATAGTCATTCAATAAAATACTCTGAGGCAGTGAAAAAGTATAAAGTAGAGCCAGATTCTTAAGATATATTAAGTGAACAAAAACTAAGCAGGATATAGAATACAATCCATTTGTTTTTAAGAAAAAAGATGTATGAGCATATACTTGTATATGCATGTAAATTTCTTAAAGGATACAAAAGAAGCTGCTAACTATGGCTACTTCTGGGAAACCAATAAGCAGGAAAGCAAAGGAGCACATTTTACATTATACTCTCAGAATTACGCGTTTTAAACAATAATATAACATTATAATATATATTTTTACATATCATACATAAATTTTTTAATTATCTGAAATTTTGAAATTTATTCCCAAATATGCCCGATGTCATTTCCCCCAACTTAGCAGCTAAAATCAAACCTATATTCTTTAGCTCTATTATATTCAAAGAACCATATGAATAGATTCCCTTCTCTACACATAAATTTTCTAGCCACCATGAGGCCATTTTCTCCCTATTCTCACGTACAAAAGCCTCTCTGGCCTTGTTCTCTGCCTAGAACTCCTAGAATTGTGAGGACTCCCAGTCACCACCATTTTTTGCCTGCTTAACCCAGCTCCCTCATCACTCAGATCAAGTCACATTCACTAGTTATAGAGTCTCACAGCGTCCTGGTTTCTCCCTGTCATTGTTGTAATTTTATACTTCTGTGATTATTTGATGAACGCCCATCATCCACACTATACTATAATCCTGGTACAGGGCAAGTCTTTGCTCATGATTACATTCCAAGTATCGTGGCAGCATGTCATAGTTGCTAAATAAATATCTATTAAATAAATGAACCCTAGTGCCTGGCATGTAGTGAATGCTCAGTAAATGTTATTCATTTACATGGCACTGTAGAGTATGTGCTAGGAGGAGTAGAGATAAAAAAAAGAATTGTCAGGGAACTAAGCAAGTACCTGGTTGAGGATAACTAGCATTAATTTGTGTCTTTTGTGAATTTCTTCAGACCTAGAGCAAGAATAATTATCCAGAATGAGGAAATGGCTAGGAAAGAACTTGGAAAAGCATCCTTAAAACAACTGACTGGGAGGTATGGCCTTGAACGGAAAAAAGTAAGGCCCTTCCCTCTGCTTGGATTACCCCATCCTCACACCCCATCCCCTATGTTCTGGGCCTAGTGAAACATTAATTATTTAAAGCCAGGATACTAATTATGCCCCTCCTCTATAAAGGCTCCCATAGCTTCCAAACAAAAGTATCTCTTCTTTGTTCCCAAGTTCTCCAGACTTAGTTATTATATATCCATCAATCATACTCCTTCTCATGTATCTTGATAAATCCAAAAGTGTCAAACCTCATTTTACTTGATCCATTCATTCATTGCATTTGACAAAAATGAACACACTACTCAGCCCTGAATTCCACAACACAAGACTCTCAAAACTGTCATTGTCCCACACTAGCTATTTATTCTGTCTCCTTTGCTGGTTTTTCATCTCCCCAAACCTATAAAGGCTAAAATGCCTAAGGACTCAGGTCTTATACTACTTTTCTTTTCTGTTTACATTCATTCCTTTGGTGATTATCTCCAGTCTCACAATTTTAAGTACCATCTGTTCACTGACAACTCCCAAATGTTCTTTTCCAGCAATGAACTCCCCCCACTGAACTCTAAACTTGGTAGACTCAACATCTCCACCTGGATGACTAACAGACATCTCAAACCTAACATGTCATAACTGAACTCCTAATCTTCCCCCACACAACTGCTCCTTTCTTAGTTTTTCACTTCTTAGTTAATGGCAATTCCACCCTTCAAGTTGCTCAAGCCCCAAACCCTGACAATTATTTCACTCTTACAATCCACATTCAATCCATAAACAAATCTGTTAGCTTTATCTACAAAATGCATCCAAAATTGAACTGCCTCTCATCATACTTCTTTTCACCCTATGAAGCCACTATAATCTCATATGAATTATTACAACACCTTCCTAATTAGTCTCCTGGCTTTTGCCTACCACACTCTCCAACAATCTGTTCTTAACATAGCTGCCAGAGTGATCCTGTTAAAAACCTAAATCAGATCATGACATTCCTCTGCCCAGAACATTCCACTGGTTATTTATCCTCTATGTTATTCCTTCAAAGCAGGATTTATGTTGCATGACATTTGCATCTGCACATGACTAACATAACATCTTGCCACATATTAGGTACTTAGTAACTGTTTGTTACCCCTTCAAAACCAGTGAAAGTAAATTGGGGACAAATTTTGAGAATCTTAATATCAGATTAGAGTTTGTACTTAAAGATATTAGGAAGTCACCACATGGATCCAAAAGAAAAATATACCATAAGGTACATTCTAGGGCTATTTCCATTCCTATGCTAAGTAGAGTTACATACAATTATGAACTGAGCCAGAAAAAAATCCAATTTATAATTTTGAGACATCTGCAGATGTTGCACCAGAATTCTATTACCATAATGACCTTTTCGCACTGCATTATCTTAGAAAATAATGGTGAAACACACATACAACAATCTATCAATAATATTGCTCCTTCGGCAGACAGTTCACGTTGATGCCATCTATAATTCTCCTTCAAACTAACAGTAAAATCCCTGAGAAAAGATACTTTTTCCTTTTAAAGGTATTAACCTCTAAAAAATAAATTTAACCCAAAGTCTGATAATAGAAAAAGATACAAATTACAAAAGGTTGCTCAAAGTTGAGATGAATAATTACATCAGATAATGAATTTACTTCTTTTAATGCCAATGTTTAATTCAAAGTATTTTCAAAATTACAGATATGAAGCAGCAAAATTACCTTCCAAAACCATGGAATTCGCTTATTACAAAATTCTCATCTCTAAAATAATAACCGTATATAGGACGATTGTGAAAGTTAAATGAATAATATTGGTAAAGCTATTAGAACAGTGCTTGGCTCAGTTACCACTCAATACATTAGCTAGTGGTAATAGTTATTAATTTACTAAAGTGAGACTGACCAAATGTGACCAATGTGGACGATTCAAAGCCATACTTGAAGTGTCAACTGTTTGGAATCAGTAGCTGAGATAACACATATAAAGAACCATTTGAAAATTAAAAGCAGTTTTATGAAAAACTGTATCACCTCTGACCTGTGATACATATAACATTAACTATTTGAAGGCAGCTATAACACCCTGTAACATTTTGGAAAACCACTGTTCACACGGTCATTATTTTATCTTTCAACAAAACAGAGTTCTAGCATGTCCACAAATCACAAACGGTTCTCTGAATTTCAATAGGAATTGTCTGAATTTTCAGATCCAACATTTTCAGATCCAGTGTCAAAATACAGTTAATTCTCGGTTCAGTATATTATCAGACAGTCCAAAGAGATTAATAAGCAGGACATATACATCTTTATCAAGCCAAAATCGAATTGAGGTCAACAAACAGAAAGACATTAAAGATAATTTAAACAGAAGTTTGAATCGCACCTAGCCTTCCTGAGGCATAATGAAAAACTTTGTCGAGATTATCGACTACAGATTTCGCCTTTAAATCGAAATTAGCCTACCATTTCACGTGGCCTAATACCGCAGCGGCAGGCCGTATGTGAATGATAAACGGTGACAACATAGTAAAGTTATTCCCCTACACCTTACACTTTGGCCTTCGTCCCTAAACAAGATTTGACGGCAGCTGAAAATTGTGCAGTCATTTAATTTCTCCTCCACCTCCCAATATTTAAGAGGAGAAGCTGAGGAGAAAAAAACTAAAGGCCAGACCAAGAGAGAGTGGTGAGGGGCCAAGGTTAGCCAAAACCGGCTAGCAGCCGCAGGACAAGCCAAAGTGGGGGTCCTGCAACAATGCCATCCCCCCAACGCTCAGGTATGAGGTAACGCATTCGCGAAGGCTACGCAGCCCGACCCGCTCCCCTCAGTCAGCCCGGGGATGAAAAGAGGGACTCCGAGAAGAAGCGAACTTTTGCAGAAACACGAGAAAAACTCAAACCCCAGCTTTGATTGATACCTCGCGGGCCTTCTACTCCTGTCTCCAGAAAAAGCAGTCGGGCGGTGGTGACGCCAATAGGCGCCGTCTCTGTCCGCTGCGCGCGCGGCGCTCTGTGATAACGTCACGCGACTCGCCCCGCCCCCTGTCTCCTTTCCCCTGGGCCTCTACTCTCAAATACCTCAGGCCACACCTGTGGAAGGATTTGGGGCAAGAAACGGGTACCTTTTACTAGATTTGTATTCTGCGGAAACCCAGATACAAGTTGGGCATACATAACCATAAAAAAAATGTTAGTTACTAAGGCTTTGTTAGGTTTTTGTTTTTGCTTAAACTGGTTCCGGGACCCTGGTTCTTTTTTTTTTTTTTAATATTTTATTTATCTATTTGACAGAAGAAGACATAGCGAGAGTAGGAACACAGGCAGGGGGAGTGGGAGAAGGAGAAGCAGGCTTCCCTCCGAGCAGGGAGCCAATGGGGGGCTCGGTCCCAGGGCGCCGGGATCATGACCTGAGCCGAACGCAGACGCTTAACGACTGAACCAGCCAGGCGCCCCTCCGGGACCCTGGTTCTTAACTACACTCCCAATATCCGCCTCAAAATTAACCATCTAGAGCGGACTCCCAAATTATCTGTGGTGAAAGCACAAGTTCTTTAGTTTTAGAATTCATCACTGAAAAGATACTTTTGTAAGATAGAGCAAAAATGAATTTCTTTGAAGGGGGAAATCGGAGGGGAGACGAACCATGAGAGATGATGGACTCTGAAAAACAAACTGAGGGTTCTAGAGGGGAGGGGGGCGGGAGGATGGGTTAGCCTGGTGATGGGTATTAAGGAGGGCACATTCTACGTGGAGCACTGGGTGTTACACACAATGAATCATGGAACACTACATCAAAAACTAATGATGTAATGTATGGTTAACATAACAATAAAAAAAATTTAATGAATTTCTTGAAAAATGGAAAAAAATAGGCAAAATACAAGGACAGATTTTTCATTATTAGTTTCAGTAAACATAAAATTATATTTTAATAAATATAATCAGATATGAGAGGGAAAACTGTTAATTGGAAATGTAGTATAGTAGTCCCCTCTTACCATGGTTTCACTTTCCTTGGTTTCAGTTACCTGAGGTCAACCGCAATCTGGAAGCACATGATCCTTCCTCTGATGAATTATTAGAATTATTAGACGGTCAATAGTCACCTAACACGATGCCTGCACCATTCAGGTCACTTTATCTCATCATATAAGCATTTTGCCATCTCATGTCATCACAAAAAGAAGGGTAAGTACAGTACAATAATGTATTTTGAGAGACCATATTCACATAGCTTTTATTACAATATAGTTATAATTGTGCTATTTTATTATCAGTGTTGCTAATCTCTTAGTGTGCCTAATTTACAAATTAAACTTTATCATAGATATGTATGTATAGGAAAAAACAGTAAATACAGGGTTCAGTACTACATGCAGTTTCAGGCATGGAGGCAGGTGTTAGGTCTTGGACCATATTCTCTAAGGACAAGGTGGGGACTACTGTAAGTGATTAAGAGCATCATTTTTACATTTGTAACTTTTATATGTGATTTATATACATATATCAAATCATTATATTGTATGCCTTAAACTAATACAGTGTTGTAAGTCAATTATATCTCAATAAAACTGGTGGGGGTGGGGGAATGGAGAGGAGAAGGAAAAAAGAAAAGTTATCCACAACCTCTGGGGGCGGGGGGGTATACCTCCTGATAGCATTTGAAAACCACTGCCTTATGCTACATCACAGTTTCTGTTACTCTATTTCACATCAGGAGGCTGAATTCGCCTCAGTGCTAGTGAATACTCCAGCTCTTAGCTGTAATGAAAGAGACTCAGTATTTAACAATATAGCTGGCCTTCGAACTGGAAGATAAAGGCACTGACCACATTCCCAGAGTAGATTAATTCCTTCCCATTTGATTACTTCACAGTACAAATGATGGTGGATGATGCAAAAGTAGCTGTTCAGGACAAACTAGCTATGTGACCCTAGGCAAGTTATTTAATCTCTCTGATTCTTAGTATTCTCATTGGGAAAATAGAGCTAATAATAACTGTGAGACAAATGAGGCACCATAAGTGCTTTCCATAGTGCCCAGCACAGAGTAAGCATTTAATAAACATTAATCATTAGTAAGAGGAATTATCACTATACAATATTATCACTAAGAAAAAGGAAATTAGAAAATTCTAAAGTTGATAGAAAAAGAAAATTCTGATGTTGGATTTAAGAAGTTTCTTAGATCTTAGTATTCAAATTATATATTACAAATCAGGCTCCCAATTAATACCAGAGTAAAATATTAGAATTTTTTTCTATTTTCTGGATGATAACAAAAGAAAATCACCATTTTACATCCATCATAATAATAATCAACTCAGGTGAGATTCATCAGTAGATGCTGAAACCATTAGGTGCAAGTTTGATGCACCACCTTAAAACACTTCATCATAGGTTATTTTTGAATTATGAAAGTAAAAATGGTAATTTTACAATAGCTAAATCTGGTACCTATAAAACCAAGTGTTCTATTTTAGCATCACTAATGGGACAAACTGACATCACATGCCTCCTTTTGTGATGCACTAAGACCATACCATCATTTAATGTGTTATTCCTGCCAAAAGGGTATTATCTGAGTCTGATCCTCAGGAAATATCAAACACACCCAAAATGAGGAACATTCTTTAAAAAAAAAAAATAGCTCTGTTTCAGAAATGTTAATGTCATGAAAGATTTTTTTATAAAAGAAAGAAAGAAAGAAAAGAACTGTCCTAGATTGAGAAACTGCAGAGACCAACAGCAAAAGCAATGTGTGATCCTGGATTGGATCCCGAATCAATGAAGAAAAAAAAAACCCTACAAAGAATATTACCAGGGCAGTTGAAATTGAATATAGATTCTATATTGAATAATGGTATTAAATCTATGTTAAGTTTTTTGTATTTGATAATTGCACTGTGATTATGTTAGAGAATGTTCTTGCTCCCAGGAGATGCATGCTAAAATATTTAGATTAGGAGTAAAGGGCCATGTTGTCTGCAATTTACTCTCAAATAGTTCTGAAAAAATATTAATAGTAATTATACATGAAGAGAGATATCAGATGTGGCAAAGTGGTTTATTTTTTTTAAAGATTTATGCATTGATTTGAGAGAGAGAGAGAGAGAGTGTTGGGGGGAGGTATTAGAGGGAGAGAATCTTCAAACAGTCTCCCCACTGAGCACGGAGCCCAATGTGGGGCTTGATTTCAAGATCCGTGAGGTCGTGACCTGAGCCAAAACCAAGAGTCAGACGCTTAACTAACTGAGCCACTCAGGCGCCCCAAGTGTTTGGTTTATAATCAGTGAATCTAGGTGAATGACATGAGAGAGTTCATTGTATTATTCTTGCAGCTTGTCTATAAATTTAAAGTACAAAAGAAAAAGAAGGAAGGAAGGGAGAGAGGAAGGGAAGGGAGGGAAAGGGAGGGGAAGGGAAGGGGAGGGGAGGGAAGGGAAGGGAAGGGGAGGGAAGGGGAGGGGAGGGAAGGGAAGGGAAGGGAAGGGAAGGGAAGGGAAGGGAAGGGAAAAAGCATGATGGATGGGAGACCAGAGAGGAAGACCCTTCTCTGAAATTCAACCCTTTAGCTTTATGGATGGTTTGTTTACAAGACTCCTGTCTTGTTTGTGACCTTTAAGGAGCTGGGATGAAATAATCACCACAGGTTATGGTCTATGTGTACGAAATATTACTGTACAGAGTATTGCCCATTGCTACCCCCATCCCCTCCCTCAATTTTGAAAAGTAAAGTGCAGGTCATACTAATGTTAACAATTCCAATAGCAAGCTTTGTTTCCATCTTTGTTTCTTTGTTTCATATATCATGAATTAAAAAACTGTGAACTGGTCCACATCAACATTTGGAAGTTTGTTCTCATTCATTAATCTCATTGTTTAATCATTGAACCAAAAGTGGTTAAATCACTCTCTCCCTACTTCTCAGACTGGATATTGAGAATAAATGAGCAAGTGAGGCTGCTTTACCACTCAGCTTCCCTGCACTCCACTCCAACTTCCAGCCTTGCAAGAGAGGGACCGATGGAGAGTAAGCTTTGCTCAGACAGATAGATACTGAGGGATGGAAGTCCCTGCATGTATGCCCAGCCCCATTTGGGACCTTGACTTGCTAGTTCAGAAGACAATCTGCAGTCTAACTCCACCTCATTTGACTCCTGCTGTAAGAAACAGAAAAATTATAGACAATGAGAATTTAGTAGCAAATTAGGCTTAGTTCAGGGGAGGTCGTTAGTGTTTCATGACACCCTGAGGAAGAATGCCCAGGTGGTAAGAATATTCTATCTTGAAACCAAGTAGGAGATTCCAAGTGATGAGCAATTGATGCCATCACTATCTGTACTGTTTGTCTAATTAATCTAAATAAATAAGCCACTTCCTCTTCTATTTTTTTGTGCTTTTTTCTTCCTTCCTTCCTTCTTGTTGTTTTGTTTTGGTTTTGGGTTTTTTGTTTTTGTTGTTGTTGTTGTTGCTGTTGTTTTGTTTTCCCGGTGTTGAGTACTTGATTCATTTGAAACATCTGGTGGGATAGGTTGTCAGCTCATAAGTCATTCTAAATACACGAAAAGTTGTATTTCTTCCCTTATTGTCTTAGTCCTTTCACACTGCTATGACAAAATGCCACAGACTGGGTGCCTTATAAACAATAGACAGCTACTTCCCTCAATTATGGAATCTGAAAGTCTGAGATCAGGGTGCCAGTAAGATTGGGTGAAGGCTCTCTTCTAGCTGTAGGCTGTCGACTTCTTGTATTCTCGCTTGGGGAAGGCAGAAGGGAGTTCTCTCAGACCTTGTTTAAAAGGCACTAATCCCATCATAAGGACTCCTCCTTCATGACCTAATCACCTCTCAAAGGCCCCAGCTACTAGAACCATCACATTGGGCATTAGGATTTCAGCATATGAATTTGGGGGAGACACAAACATTCAGACCATAACACTCATCTTCACCTCACTGTGCTTTGTTGTCCTAAATTATTTACATCAAAAAATGGAATAAAGACAGGATTTTAAAACCTCCCTAGAATTAGCCATTTGAAAAAATAACTGATAATTCAGTACTTCTTTAAGAAATTGATTCCTGTCATATTCCTTAAAAAATACCCTGAAACCGGGGCACCTGGGTGGCTCAGTCGTTAAGTGCCTGCCTTCGGCTCAGGTAATGATCCCGGGGTCCTGGGATCAAGCCCCACATCGGGCTCCCTGCTCCACAGGAAGCCTGTTTCTCCCTCTCCCACTCCCCCTGCTTGTGTTCCCTCTCTCAATGTGTCGTTCTCTGTCAAATAAATAAAATCTTAATAAATAAATAAATAAATAAATAAATAAATATACCCTGAAACCTTGCCACATAATAACATCCTTCAAAAAAAAAAAAATCAATGTTGGGGCACCCGGGTGGCTCAGTTGCTTAAGCAACTGCCTTTGGCTCAGGTCATGATTCTGGAGTCCCAGGATCAAGTACCGCATTGGGCTCCCTGCTTGGCAGGGAGTCTGCTTCTCCCTCTGACCCTCCCCCCTCTCATGTGCTCTCTCTCTCTCTCTCTCTCTCAAATAAATAAATGAATAAAATCTTTAAAAAAAATCAATGTTTGTAGGCATAATGGAAATAAATATATTTATTACTCAAAGTGAATCCATTCTATGAATTGCATGTAGCTCTGTGCCTCCTGCCATTCCCACAGGAAGAATAACCTGAGTTTTCTGGAATGACAATCAAGGATGTAAAGGGAAAGGGCATTCTTAGATGGTCCAAGACTCAGAAATCAGTCCATCAATAGTGTGGGCATGTGTGATTCAGTTAAGTGCTCTGAACCTAGTCTGTAAAACCTGTAAAATCATGATTTCCAACCTACTTATTGCTTTTCCTAAACTTTATGACAGAAGTTAGGTGCTAAATTTTGCAATTTAAGGCTTTGAAAATGTTTCTATATGTATTCCTTACAAAGCCATGCTGTACTGAGTTTTCAACATTGTAACATAGGCCCCTGTTATGAGAAGGCTAAATCATTGAAAGAAACAGGTAGTTGATCGGTGCATTTTCAGCTCTCTGGGTGTCTGTGCCTTTTTCCAGGTGACTGCTATTCCTCCATCAGGATGTCGAGTATATTTTTGCACCCCTTGATGATGAGTTTGGCCATTTGCTTTGTTTTGGCCAATGGAATAATAGTGGGTATGATGCAAGAGGAA